TTTGTGTACTGTACTTACTTACATGATTCTCTCTCCTTCCTGGAGCAGCAGGGATGTGACAGCTTGGCTGATATTGGTCATGGCTAGTGTTATTCCATTTTAGTCCTCTATTTCCTGACCACCTCTTTGAAATGAGTCCTTCTGTACAGTCTTTGTTCTCCTATACCATGTCTCCTTAAACTACTTACACTTGCAACCTCTTCTACTCAAGAAAACAACATGATTCCAGGTATGTAGGTCTATGAAATAGATATCAAATCAAGCATTTTTTAATAACAGACCATCAAGAAATTGATTTTTCTACAATTTAGCATGTGTTGAAGAGCAGAGCAAATTTGCATACTAATGAGATGGATATGCTTGTTTATTTTTAAATGAAGAATTAAATCTTGGCTGAATATGTTTGATACTGGAGGATGTGGAGCATCTTCAACATTTTTAAGAGTTGATTGATATTTTGATTTTGTAATCTACAATACTGAGAATGCCACTTTGCATAAATACATGATATAAAATGGAAGGAGGATATTTATGGTCATTTCAAAAGAAATTGACAGAAATTCTGCCCTAATCTCAAGCCAACAAAAATCATTTAATTTGAGTTTTCATGAAACTCATGCCAGTAACTCAAACACAGCTTTTAAAAATCAAACACAATGCAATCCAAAGCTATATAATTTGATACTCATATGCTGGGCAAGAATGGGAGTAAAACAACAAGTTTTTGCTTTCTATAATTAAACCAGTATGTTTCAATAGAGCAGAAATCTCTGTATGTATAGTAAAAAAACACTAGACTATACAATCGCCTTGTCTGAGGTGTTTCAGGCAGAGTTTGTTGGCCGTATTTGGTGTTCCACAACACACACAGTACAATGTGCACACATTGCATGTTCAGAATCAAGGCTTCCGTGTCACCAGATGCAGCATGGGTGAATGCTTCCAGAAACACACTTGATGAATGTGAACTTAACTTTGTATTATTTTGGGGATGCTGTGTGTTCAGAAACATTCAGATGTTGCCAAAATGTTCATTACAGTCATGGTCAGTTACATGTTAAATGATCCCATAAGATAGTCACAACATAAAGTTTAAAAAATCACTAATAGTTTTTTTTTAATTATGTGTGTGTTACTATGTACACTTGAGTGTAGTTGCATGTGAAGTTCAGAAGAGGACACTGGATATCCTGGAGCTGGAGTTGCAGGTGGATGTGAGCCACCCTATGTGGGAGTTAGGAAATGAACTCAGGTCCTCTACAAAAGCAGCATGCACTCAACTGCTGAACAGTCTCCCTGGCTTCATGATCTCAGCTTAAAAGCTAGGCTCTAGATTCTGCCTTCTGTCCCTCCAGGCCCTGACTGACTTGGAATACTCTTAACTGAGCAGGAAAAGCTAGAAGGTGTTGGGGGCAAAGAGATAAGAATGTAAGCAGAAGTCTAGGCTGGGATTTCTGATAAGGAGCTTTGATGGCCACTTGTGAGTCACAGGTAGCTCTTGACCCTTGGCAAGTGTCTCAGGGGCTGGGTTATTTTACATCCTGGGCCCAAAGTGAAAATGCCCAAGTATGGAGTTGGGAAGGGTTGTTTAGCTGGTAGAGCTACCCAAGTGATAGGGTATGGGCAGGAATGTAGGGGGAGCCCAGAATTCTGACTTTCTTCAAGAATGACTGTGTACTTTCATAGCAGGGCATGATGGGTACTTAAGAATGCATGGGTAGGACATAAGCTCCATTTCAAGCACTAGATTTTGACTAGCACTCACTTCACAAGGTTCTCTTGTGCATTTTCAACTGGATGCCTGGAGGCAGGTAGGTCTTGCTTTGGGTTAAGAAGAATAACATTCCTGGGACTGGGGCATTCTTCAGTTGTTGAAGTGCTCACTTCAGGCCACAGAAACTACATGAAAAGTCAGTGGGAGAACAGTGACAACAGAATTCCTGGGCTTGGTGACCAGCCAACCTGACTTAACCAATGCACTTCCAGATAATGAGTCTTTATTTTAAAAAATCAAGGTGGACAGCCACCTTAGTGACAAAACCTATGGTTTACATCTGGCTTCCACATACACACATGTATATGCATCTGTTCACACACACACACACACACACACACACACACACACACACACACACACACATGCATACATACATACACACATACACACACACATACACACACACATACACACAGACACAGACACACACAGATACACACACAGAGCAGTAGTGTCCACATGGACCAAACTTGGTCCTAGTTCTGTCATTTCTCCGAAGGGAAGAGCAGCTTTCCTTTGGGAGTGACAGTCATGACTTCCTTCAAGGTGTCAGGAGGTTGAATGAAACCATTTGCATAACCTCCAAGCATACAGAAAGGCCCAACGAAAACTGGCAGCTGCTAATAGCAAAGGCAAACTTGTTTCTGCCAGCCAGGCTCTCTGATTTAGCTCTCTCTCTCTCTCTCTCTCTCTCTCTCTCTCTCTCTCTCTCTCTCTCTGTGTGTGTGTGTGTGTGTGTGTGTGTGTGTGTGTGTGTGTGTGTGTGTACACGAGTACCTTAGTAGCACAGAAGAGGGTGTCAGATCCCCTGGAGCTGAATTGCAGGCAGTTATGAGCTACCTGACATGGATGCTGGGAACTGTACTCAGGCCCTTTACAGGAGAAGGAGCAGCAAGCTCTCTTCACCACTGAGTCAAACCCTTTCCCCTCTGCCAGTATGGTTGTTCATACCAACAGCAGAGCATTTCTGTTTCCCTAAAAAATACAGTTAACCCCAAACTGACTTCTAGGCTCTTGACCCCATGTCCTAGGGCTCTTAGGGTTAGACACACTAAGCGTAGAAGGTTGTTTCCTAGCAGGTGTTCCAGGTACAGGGACACAATCCCCTCCTCTCAGGAGTGCACTCTTGCAGCACCCACAAGCCAGTGTGACAGTGCAGGGGTTGATTCAATGAGGCCCATAGCTACACTACCTGGCCTGGGTCTGGCTCTGCCTCCTCATCGGCAAAGTGAAGATCACGAGAGCCAACCCTGTAGAGCTTAGAGGACAAACCAGGAGCATGTCAGACTGCCTAATCTACAGTGACCAGCGGGCTCTGTTCTTACTGGCAACAGGTCCCACTGCCTCAGTGTCTCCTGCAGTCATGAAGTCCTGCAGTTCTGGCCACACCAGGGCCCATGCCTGGATCCTGTCCAGGCTTGGAATCTTGTAGGTGGTCGTGAGCCAGAGAGGACACAGAGCAGTGCTTGGGGGAAATGGGTGTGTGATCAGCTCCAAGGCAGTGAGGACTTAAAACAAAACAACAAAATACTTTATTTATAGCCTGACAAGATGGCTTGGAAGTTACAGACACTTGCCACAAAGCCTGACAACTTGAGCGCACTTTCCAGGTCCCCCATGGTAGACAGAGAGGACAGACTCTGGCTTCCACACAAAGCCTGCCATGCATGCATCATCCCCTCCACACAAAACAAATATAGAAAATGTAATAAAAGCAGAATTTCTTTAAAAGTATTTGTTATTAGTCTGTGTGTGTGCACATGCACATACGCAGTGGCTCACCTATGGAAGACAGTTTTGTAGACTTGATTCTCTATATCCACCCTTGCGAGGCTCCAGGGCTGTGAGGCAAGCTCTTCTACTCATTGAGCAATCCTGACACCCCCCAATAAAGATGTTTTCAATAGAAGGAGAAAACATAGTGCCATATCTGTCAATGAGTGAGAAGCTAGTCCTAGCTGTGTGACCTTGGGCAAGCCATCTCCCTTCTCTGAGCCTCAGCCATTTCTCCCTACTCTGTGATATAGGAGCACAGTTGTCACTCTAAATGGTCATGGTGTCTGGATAAAGAGAAGACCCAGACAGACCTCAGGTGCCAGTCAGCAGGACCTAGCTGTCCACCTGTACTAGCCTCTTCCACCCCGTGCCCTGTGGGGTAGGGGTAGAGGTGGGGCTTGGATGATCTCCTCTAAGAGGGTTCCCAAACAGTGTGAGTGAAGACAGCAGTCCCCAGGGGCTGATGGGCTGTCAGTAGCTGTCAGCTCAGCCTTCCCAACAGGGTCTCAGGTGGAAGTCTTCAGGCACTGGCATTTCATATTTGATATCTTAATTATGTTGCTTGGTTTTGAGTTTGAGGAGATGATGGGAGCCGATGGAACCATTTTGTTCTCAAGGGGCAGGAGGGTGGAAGGCTTTAGAGGGGGAAAGGGAGTACAGGAAAGCGGCAAGGGGATGTCCTTTATGCTGAGGCGACCTCTCTGCAGGATTGCCTATGGGAGTGGCCCAGAACCACCTCTGGGCAGAACAGAAACTGCATGTGTGGCAAAGGTCTTAGAGGTCAGCTTGCTTCCCAGATTCTGGAAGGTTTGCCCAAGAGAGCTCAGGCTGTCCCAGACAAGGCCCTTGTGGGGACACTCCCACCTGTCAATCCTTCCTCAAAGATGGAGGGACCAGACAAGGCCTCCCAGGATCTCAGATGCCCTCTAGTGTTAGGGGACAGGTGGAGGGTTGTCTGCAGCCATCCCCACTAATTCCTGAGTCTTCCTTGTCCTCCCCAGGTGCCTTTGCTCCCCTGCCACGCCACCTCTGCTCCATGGTTAGATGCCCCTCATTCACACTTTCAACTAGCATTTTACTTTGAATTCATTCATTGCCTTACTTTGGGTGTTTGCTTGACCTGACCTGGAGAGAATGTTCTCAGAATCCTTCCTTCTCTCTGACACTCCATCCCGGAATATTTCTCTTGTCTTTTCTTTCACCCTGCCTGTCACCTAGGTCTTCCAGATCACATGTCTATCATTGCTTCACCATTTTCTATCTACGCCACACTCCTAACTCCTCCCTCTCTCTCTCCCTCTTGAAACTGTTTTCCCACCATCCACATTTTCCAGTCTCTGCCGTCCTCTAAGTGGGCCTGCATGTGTCCCTGTTACTCTGTATCTTCCTGTGGCTGCTCCCCAACACCCCACACTCTCTTACTCTCTGTGTCTGCCTCCCTCCCCAGGATGATCCCTGCCTCCAACAAGGCCTTCGTGGTCAACAACCTGGTGTCCGGGACGGGCTACGACTTGTGTGTGCTGGCCATGTGGGATGACACAGCTACGACGCTCACGGCCACCAACATTGTGGGCTGCGCCCAGTTCTTCACCAAGGCTGACTACCCACAATGTCAATCTATGCACAGCCAGATCCTGGGGGGCACCATGATTCTCATCATCGGGGGTATCATTGTGGCCACACTGCTGGTCTTCATCGTTATCCTCATGGTTCGGTACAAGGTCTGCAACCACGACGCCCCAGGCAAGATGGCAGCAGCCACTGTCAGCAATGTGTATTCGCAGACCAATGGGGCCCAGCCTCCACCTCTGGGTGGGATACCTGTTGGGCAGCTTCCTCAAGCACCACCCAAGGTTGTGGTGCGGAATGAGTTGATGGACTTCAGTACCAGCCTGGCCAGGGCCTGTGACTCTTCTTCCTCCAGCTCCCTGGGCAGCGGGGAAGCTGCAGGCCTGAGCCGGGGCCCCTGGAGACTCCCACCCCCTGCTCCTCGCCCCAAACCCAGCCTTGACCGCTTGATGGGAGCCTTTGCCTCCCTGGACCTCAAGAGTCAAAGGAAAGAAGAACTTCTAGACTCCAGGACTCCAGCAGGCAGAGGGGCAGGGACATCAGCCAGGGGCCACCACTCAGACCGAGAGCCACTGCTGGGGCCCCCGGCCACCCGTGCCAGGAGCCTTCTGCCTTTGCCCCTGGAGGGCAAGGCTAAAAGGAGCCACTCCTTTGACATGGGAGACTTTGCAGCTGCAGCTGTAGCTGCTCCTGGTGGCTACAGTCCCCCTAGGCGGGTCTCAAACATCTGGACGAAGCGCAGCTTGTCTGTCAATGGCATGCTCTTGCCCTTTGAGGAGAGTGACCTGGTGGGAGCACGGGGGACATTTGGCAGCTCAGAGTGGGTCATGGAAAGTACTGTGTAGCCAGGGTAGGAACACCCTTCCTCCCTCTCTCAGTGGGAGAGGAAGGGGTCAGAGTCAGCACTGGCTAGTATTTGTGGAGTTTCCATGGTGATGTTTACATCCAGGGACAGTCTTGTCTCCCTGTCAACAGCCTCATGTCCTTCTGCCCAGCTACACTCCTTCCCCCATGTCACCTTCCCAGGCCTGTCCCCACCACCCAGCGGGGTGTGCTCAGGGAATGGGACTCGCTCAAGTGTCAGACTGAGCCCTGAGTGTTTGGAGAGGCAGCGAACTGCCTTTCTATTCACAAATGTAGCGACAAGCAACGGCTTCGGATTGCTTATGGATCCAGTGTAGTTTTGATTTCTTAATTTATTTTTCCATTTCCCGGACTCCTCTTCATTCTTCTGGATAACCGAGTGTCCTCTACTTGTGAAAATGTGTCCCCAGCAGGCTGGAGGTAGAGGTGAGGGCAGGGTGGGAGTCAAGAAGACTATTGGTGTTCTGTGGAACTCCCTGCCCAGAGACCCCATAACCTTAGCCAGCCCTATAGCCTGCCCTGGGATGTGTGAATGACCCAGTTTCTATTGTTTCACAGACACAACACCCACACCCAACAAAACAGACTAAGTTAGAGCATAACCACAAGCAGCAGGTGGGCTTGAGAAAGGGCTCGGCTTGTGCTTTGGGACAGAGGGGATCTTATTTGGAGGGTGCGGCCTCTTCTGGGAATTGGCATGACCTGTGCTGATTAAAAGGACTCTTATGTAAAGTAGATGAAGCATTGGGGGCACTTTAGACCCTCAGGCTGGTTTCTGGAGCCCTGAGAATAGGCCACTAAATGACCTCAGTGTCCCAGCCAGCAAAGCCCTTGGAAGGTTGTAGAAGGCTTCCAAGATGAAGCAGGTCTTCCCATCTCTAGGTGATTGCCTGAGTGGAACACAAGCCACTGGAGTAGTCCCCACCCTCCCATGGCATGTGGGAATGTGCTAGAAGTGTGAAGCTGAAGCTGAATCTTCTTTAAAACATTTTCCAGAGAGCTTGGGGGGGGGGTCTCTGTGATCGACCCGTCCTGAAACTGTCCTCCCTCTCCCCAGAGCAAGAAGCTTGCCTAATGTGACCAAGCCAGATCAGAGGCCAAGGCTGCCTACCTCCTGGGGGAGGTTTTTAGACTCCATGATCCCATCTTCCCCTCAACTAGGGTAGCTCTATGTGCAAGTTTATACCTTGCATGTTCCTTAAGGTGATGGTTCAGGGTGCTCATGGGGGATGAGGGATACCTTTGTGTGGTTCCCTGTGGAGTATCTGTCCATGGAGGTAATGGAATAGGAGCAGGAGGGGGTCTTGGCCCATGTCCATCCCATGAACCCACCCCTGCTCCCTCAGATCTGGGGGAAAGCTGCTTTTGACAAAGAGCGATAGCCTGCCCCTGTCACGGCTGGGCTCCATCTCCTGCCTTCCAGCTCTTTCCTGAGAGCCAGCACAAGCACACTACCTCTCCCTCTTTTCTGTCTTCCTAACCCAGTCCTTCAGTCTCGCCTGCACGCCCTTCTTCCACATGCCAATCACACAGCCTGCAAAACATGCAGGTGAGAACATGTTTCAACACTCTCATGGACTCAGGGCTGGTGCTGAGCTTCTGGGCCTCGACACCACCCAAGAACACACATAGAGATGGCACTGTCTCTGCAGATGACCTCATGGTTGCATCCAGGGAGCCTCAAACCCCACAACTGCTCCCTTCTTTCCTCTCCTCCCTTTCCCTACTCTGCCCTCCTGTTGCTGTTCTTTTTTCTGCCCGTTCTCTGTCTTTACCCCAAATCATTGTCCAGTTCTGATAAAGCCAATTGAACACCAGACTGGTGTCTCCAGAAACCAAAATCTGTTTTCCACACAAGCCTAGGCACCAGGGAAATTCTCTTCTCTGTCATATGAACCTACTGAAAGGGCAGTGCTACAGCTCAGTCTGTAGAATGCCTGCCTCGCTTGCACAGGCCTGGGTTTGACCCTCAGCACTGCAAGAACTGGCTGTGCTGGTGCATGTCTGTAACCCCAGCACTTGGGAGGTAGATGGAGGGGAATCCCAAGTTCGAGGTCACCCTCTACTACATGATGAGTCTGAGGCCATCCTGTGCTATACAAGACCCTGCTTCAAAACAAAACAAAACACACATCCAGAAAAGAAGGTTCTCTTCCTTCCTTACCTCCTGATTTCCTGTTCCAATTTCCCACCCATCCTGTCAGAGTGATCCATAGAGGAAGTGGTCCCAAAGACCACCTTCCTTCTCACCTTTGGATGGGAAGGGGAGGGATGGACCCTTGTCTCTTCTGCTCAGCAAATCAGCCATGGTGGCATGATATGTAGCTGTTAGTGTGTCCTTTTGTTTCTGACTTGGATGGGGAAGCAATGCCCCCAGGGTCAGAATGTAAGTGTCCATCTTCTCCTCTTAAAAAAGGTCGGGTAAAATGCACACTTTTCAAAACCAGCCACACCACATTGCCTGGGAGGGGAAGAAAAGGCATCTTCTCGTGTCTATGGGTGTCTGCTGTGCATTTCTCTGGAAACTCGGTTTTCTAAAGATGACATTCAAGTAACACTTTTCCCTTGCACCTGTGTTTGTGAGCGCCTGGCCAGAGTTTGCTTCCCTCCAAGTTCATGTACAAGGTGTGGGTGTCTTCTGACGTGCAGAGAGGGTCTGTTCCCCTGGGACAAAGGTAGAAGCCTTCTCCAAGAAGGGAGAGGTCTGTGCTCAGCCTCCTCTAGTGTCCCTCTAGTCACTTCTGGCTATGATGAACCAACTCTACCATCCTAGCCCAGCCCAGCCTTCTTTATTTCCCAGGTTGTGGCTGATACCTTACAGGGCCCATCATTTTGGTTGAGCAGCAAATAACATAGTCAAAAGCCTGCCTGCAACCACAGCACAGGAATAGAGGCTGGCGGCCAGGAGTTCAAGGTGAACATTGGCTGCAAAGTGGGCTACATGAGACCCTGCTTTAAAATAAGGAGGAGTGTGGAGTGGAGCTGGAGAGGTGACTTAGCACTCAAGGGTATTTGCTGTTCTTGTAGAGGACCCAAGTTTGGTTCCCAGCACCCATATCAGGCAGCTCTCAACCACCTATAACTCCAGCTCCAGGGGAATCCAACACCTTTTTTCTAGACTCTGTGAGCACCTGTGCACTCGACACGTGGCATACACTTACACTCACACTCACACTGACACACACACACACACACACACACACACACACACACACACACACACACACACACAGAGTGCACATTTTGCTTACACTTTCGGTCTCATCTTGAACTGACCACCTTTGAAGGGCTTGAGTCACACTTGGGGCTAGTTCAAACCAGCGTATTGGACAGTGTGATTCTAGACATATAAGGGGCATAGAGGTGCAGTTGGGGGGGGCGCAAGAGAAATGTCTGTTGAGTTCCCGTGGGATCCCACAGTTTCCAGGCACAGTGCCTCATGCATCACCTGAATTTCTTACTATGCTATCTCTACATCCTCTCATGGTAGATGACAGCACAATGAAGCACTCAGAGCTCAGAAGGGTTAAGGAACCTGTCCAGGGTCACATGAGAAGTCTGACGGCAAAAACCTGAGCTCTTTCAGCACACCCCTGCCACCCACCCCACACAGCTTTCCTCCTTGCACCAGGTACAGATGACATGGAACAACAACACAATTTCTCACCCTATAACTTCTTTTTGGAGCCATTGATTTGGCCTCAGTTCTGACAGACTCTGAGTCGTTGGCTCTAGGCTCAAAACTATGGTTAAAGGTTGGTGCTGACATCACTCTGGGCTTTCAGGACTATCTTAGGGTTTCTATTGTTATGAAGAGACATCATGACCATGGTAACTCTCACAAGGAAAACACTTATTTGGGGTGGCTCACTTACAGTTCCAGAGGTTCAGTCCATTATCATCATGGTGGAGAGCATGGCAGACTGCAGGCAGACATGGTGCTGGAGGAATAGCTGAGAGTCCTACATCTTGCAGGCAACAGGAAGTCAACTGATACAATGGGGCAGGGGGTTATCCTGGGCATAGGAAACCTCAAAGCCCGCCCTCACAATGACATACTTCCTCCAACAAGACCACACACCCACTTCAACAAAGACATACATCCTTATAGTGCCACTCCCTATGAGATTATGGGAGCCAATTACATTCATACCACCACATGGACCTTCTTGTACTTGAAGCACATGTCTTCCTATGGCCAAGAGATAGCTATAAACCAGACAATACAAATCAACTCATCCGTAGTCACCCCCTTCTCCCCTCTGGGGGACTTCCAGGAAATCCTGTGGCTCGCCAGTCTCATCTGGTCCCTTATGCTTGTGGCTTGTTTGCCTGGATATACAAATCCCCACAGCAGCATGTGACCACAATCAAACCCACCTTCTCACTCCTTTTAGTCCCAAACCCTTGTTATCCTCAAGAATCTACTTACAGTCAACGTCTACTTTCCAGTAGAGGGATACCTTTTGGTCAGCCATCTTTGATAGATATGGGATGGCTGAAATAGCATAACCATAGCTGATTATCAAGCTTTCGGCAAAGAGTTAAACTCACTTCTCCATAGTCCTAGTATTGACACATCCTTGGATTTTCCTCAGAGGAAATGTTTTTCATTTCCCCATTGTAAATATTGAAATTTCAAGAGATATGCTTTTTTTTTCCAAAGGATGCCATTTTTAGTTAAGTAATTGAACATGTCAAGATGTCAGGCTCCCATTTCTTACATAAAGAGGACGTGTCCCCAGAGTCTGGGATATGGAGTTTTCCACAAATATGGCACATCTCCATGGGCTTTCAGTACAGGTCTCAGGGTATCTGTAGGCTTGAGTAGACCTCCTCTGTCTTTTTCCTGTAGCCCTTGAAACTTCTGCAAGCTGCAGCTGGAGACACAAACTGGCTGATTCGGAGGAAAGGTGGTAGTCAGGCAGCAGTCAGAACCTGAGCAGGTTTGAAATATCACACCTAGACTCCCACACCCAGA